TTTCATTTTTTTCCCTCGGGGTAACTGCCCGAGCAAGGGGTTAGAGGGCGACGGCTACCCGGGAGGCTCCTGTGCTCCCACCTCCCTCCCTGCCGGTGCTGCCAGCTCCTCTCCTGCGGTTTTGTTCAGCCCTGGTGTGCACTGGAGCCTCGTGTCTAATCAGCTCAGGTCTGCTCTCTGTTTCGGGGCTGGTCACCCTTCCTTGAGCAACCAAAGATTTCCACTATGCCCTGGGGTGGGGGGTACCCTCATCCTTCTTGACTTTCAGGCACGAGTGGGATTTTTCTGCACGAGGCGGGCTTAGACTCGGGTGTGGCTAAGAGCCTTTTGCTAGGAGGCCGGCCCGGGCCGGGCAGCGTCCCTCTTAAGTTTTATTTTTGGAGAGCCTCGCCTGGCGCCTAGCCTGCCTGAAGGGGCCTGTGCACCGAGGCAGAGCCCACACTCAGGACGGTGCTTCGGGGACTTCGGGGACTGTGTGCAGCTTTGACCACCTGACCCTGTCCCCGGAGCTGCCTGCTCCCGCCCCCCCCACAGCTTCCCCGGCCCCAGGCCCGAGGCAAGCGCATTCAGGTCGGGGTGCCGGGCACCCGTGCGCCTCTGCAGGGAGGCAGCTGGGAGGGGCGTTCCTGGCTGACTCAGCGCGTGGCCAGTTCTGCTGCTGCTGGCTTAGTCCTCAGCTGCGGGCATGGCTGCTCCTGAGTCAGTGCGGGCTGGTGACACCACCGAGACGGGGACTTGGGAAGGTGACTGCGTGGGTGATGCAATCTGTGTCTGAGTCTCGGCATCTCAGCACGAGCATACACATGCACGCCCGTGCACACACACACGCACGCATGTACACATGCAGACACGCATGTACACACCCACGCACTCACATATCCACACACCTACAGTGACATCTACACATGCCCACACACGTGTACACACCCATAGTGACATACACGCTCACACACGCGCATGCACACGCATATGCAGTGACATGCCCACACACACGTGCACACATTCATAGTGACATGCATGCCCACACACGTGTGCACACACACCTATGCAGTGGCATGTCCGCACACGTGCACATACACACGTGCACACTGACATGCGTGCCCACACACATGCACGTATGCAAATCCACCTATGCACACCCTCATATGCAGGCGTGCACACACACATGTAGATATGTACATGCACTCACAGATGCTCATGTACACACATGTTCATGTACACACATGCACTGATGCACAGACTCATATGCATGCTGACATGCACATCCATGTGTACGCATGTACACATACACACGTATGCAGATATGTGTGCACACACATATGCACACTCATGCATGCCAGCATACGCATGTGCACACACATGCACACGCAAAGTACACATACATTCATATGTGCACGCGCATTCATACACATGTGTACACTGACATGCACACCACGTGAATGCACACACACCCACACATACGTGTACAGTCACATGCACATAATTGACATACATGCAAATAAACATAGACACACATGCACACACACAGACACACACACAGCACAGCCCTCTCTGGCCTTTCTGGCAGGCCTGAGTTATTACCCAGCCCAAAGGGAGCATCTCCCAGGGAATTTCGCCCAAAACAGAAAAGCCAGCAAGGCTCAGGGCCTGATGCTCACGTGGAAATTGCGGGGGTGGCTGCCCAGGGCAGCAGGGGCCCATGGTCTGGGTGGACATTCCTGACTGTGGATGCTAAATAGGACCCCCTGGCCTTCCAAGGAAAACAGGAGGTGGGGCCAGCCCATTTGTTCTCTGTGTGCGCGTATTTTTAGCACTGAGTAATTTAGGTATTTTTAAGCCCAACCAAGGGCGGTTTTCCCTGAGTTGGATGTTTTGTGGCTGCTTTGAAGCTCTCTGGAATCAGAGCCTTCTGAGCAGCCACACGTGGGCCCTGCCTCCAGAGCAGACAGATTGGGCCTTCTCCGCCCCCAAAAAGGGGGGGCGGGACGTCTGCTGGAAACCAAGGAGGCTGGGTGGTGTCAAAGGGATTTTTTTTTTAATTGATCCTTTCATTGATATCGCCGTGGAGTCACATCCAGTGCTAACAAAGAATGTACAGGAATTCTGTGTGTCATTCCCCGGCCGTCCCCGGTGGTAACATTTGGTAAAGCTACGGGCAGGATCACAGCTAGACAGTCACACACCCACCAGCCTCGCTCGGTTCCGTAGTATTCAGTATTGTACCGGCTGGTGTGTGAGTGTGTGAGGTTGACAGTCACACACCCACCAGCCTCACTCGGTTCCGTAGTATTCAGTATTGTGCCTGCTGGTGTGTGAGTGTGTGAGGCTGTCTGTGTGTTTATCACCCGTATAGGCTTGTGGATTCATCACCGTCGTTGAGGCACTAATAGGGATCATTCATGTTGCCCTTTTGTCTACGTATTCATTCAGAGATGGGGTCTCACTAAGTTGCCCAGTCTGGCCTCAACCTCCCAGGCTCAGGAGATCCTCCCACCTCAGCCTCCCAAGTAGCTGAGACCACAGGAGTGTGTCACCTATGCCCAGCTAATTTTTAAATTTTTTGTAGTGAGGGGATCTTGCTATGTTGCCTAGGCTGGCCTCAAACTCCTGGACTCAAGTGATCCTCCCATCTCAGCCTCCCAAAGTGCTGGGATTACAGGCAAGAGCCACCGTGCCTGGCTGTGTTGCCCTTTTATACAGAGACCTATCTCCCTCCCAGCCCCTGCCCCTTCCTGATCCCTGGCAACCGTTAATCTGTTCTCCATTTCCAAAATGTTGTCCTTGGGCCAGGCATGGTGGCTCATGCCTGTAATCCCAGAACTTTGGGAGGCCAAGACAGGCAGATCACTTGAGGCCGGGAGTTTGAGACCAGCCTGGCAAACGTGGTAAAACCCCATCTCTACCAAAAATACAACGATTAGCCAGGCGTGGTGGCACATGCACCTGTAATCCCAGCTACTCAGGAGGCTGAAGTGGGAGTGGCACTGGAAGGGAGAAGCGGAGGTTGCAGTGAGCTGAGATCGCGCCACTGCACTCCAGCCTGGGCGACAGAGCAAGACTCTGTCTATAAAAAGTCCTCTTAAACACATTATACAAACAGAACCATGCTACACATCCTAGGCCCTGGAGATTCCCCTGCGGTGTGATATGCATGGATGGTCCTTTCCTTCTTATCACTAAGTAGGCATTTTTTGAAAACTCTGGAATCTGCCTTGGCTTCTCTGCGGCTGCCTGGCTCTGCAAAACAGACAGCAATGCCATGAGTTATGATGGAAACAAGGTGCGGCTTAATTAACTGCTCACAAACGCCCGACTGGGACTGCAGCTGCCCAGGACTCTTGAACCTGGCCCCTGCCCCTGCCACCCCCATCAGCACCGACCCCCTCGCTGGGTCCTACTAAGCAGGTTTCTCTAGCCTGGACACTGCTGACACGTGGGGCTGGATCGTTCCCTGCAGTGGGGCCATCCTGGCCACTGCAGGGTGCTGAGCAGCATCCCTGGCCTCCACCCACGCCCTGCCAGGAGCACCCCCAAGTCATGACAGCCACAAATGTCCCAGACATGACCCAGTGCTCCATGCAGGGCAGAGTCACCCCCAGATGAGACCTTGGGGGATACCACGGACCCCCAAAAGACTCTGCATCCCGTGATCATCTGCCCTGTTGAGGACCTGGGTTGTTCCGGGAGAATTCAAGAAGCAACAGCATGGGCTTCTGACTGGTTCAGTATAAAGGACATGGAGGACAGGCCGGGCGTGGTGGCTCCCACCTGTCATCCCAGCACTTTGAGAGGCCGAGGAGGGTGGATCACCTGAGGTCAGGAGATCGAGACCAGCCTGGTCAACATGGTGAAACCCTGTCTCTACTAAAAATACAAAAATTAGCCAGGCGTGGTGGCGGGGGCCTGTAATCCCAGCTACTCGGGAGGCTGAGGCAGGAGAATCGCTTGAACCCGGGAGGCAGAGGTTGCAGTGAGCTGAGATCGTGCCACTGCACTCCAGCCTGGGCGACAGAGTAAAACTCCATCTCAAAAAAAACAAAGGACAGTCATCGGGGGTTCTGCTGTGATCCCTGCCCTGACCCGGGGTCTCCCCTGGGCACTATGGACATCGGGGTTGGATCCTTCCCTGGCATGGGGCCGTCCTGGGCATGCAGGGGGCTGAGCAATGTCCCTGGCCTCCACCCAACCCACTCCATGCCAGGGGCACCCCCCACAGCCACAGATATCCCCAGACATCACCCACCGTCCCCACTGTCCCCTGGAGGGCAAGAACTCCTGCCATGGGACTGCGGCAGGCCACTTAGGAGCCTGTGTAAGTCCTCCCTTCTCCAGAGGCCTGACCTATTGCCTTTGCCCTTTCTCTTTTTTTTTTTTTTTTTTTTTTTTTGAAATGGCGTCTTGCTCTGTCGCCCAGGCTGGAGTGCAGTGGCATGATCTTGGCTCACTGCAAGCTCCACCTCCCGGGTTCACACCATTCTCCTGCCTCAGCCTCCTGAGTAGCTGGGACTACAGGCACCTGCCACCACGCCCGGCTAATTTTTTTGTATATTTTTTTTTTAGTAGAGATGGTGTTTCACCATGTTAACCAGGATGGTCTCGATCTCCTGACCTCGTGATCTGCCTGTCTTGGCCTCCTAGAGTACTGGGGCTACAGGCATGAGCCACCGTGCCTGGCCTGCCTTTGCCCTTTCATTCCCTCCTTCTGCAAACTCTCACAGAGGATTGTCACGGCTGATGGCGTGCCAGGCTCTATGCTGGAAACCAAGGAGGCTGGGCGGTGTCAAAGGGATTTTTTTTTAATTGATCCTTTTATTGTGCACCTTGTATTGTGTATCCTTTTATTGAGTACCAGTTCTGTGTACACTGAGGCCCCTGGTCCCCACGCAGAGGCAAAGTGGTTGTGCCCAGAGTTGGGAAGGTTGAGCCAAGGCTGGGCACCCCTGCTGCCACCCAGAGGCCTGACCTGAGCTTTGACCCACACCCCTCTGCTTCCCCCACAGCTCTCTGGACAACGGGGCCCAGAGCTGATGGCAGACAATGTCAGCCACTAACAACATAGCACAGGCCCGGAAGCTGGTGGAACAGCTACGCATAGAAGCCGGGATTGAACGTATCAAGGTGAGCCCGGCGGACGCCAGGAAGAGGAGGGGAGAGGCCCGTGGGTGCCCCGCAAATGGTGGACAGGAGGCTCGACGGGAGGGCAGAGGCTTGCCCCACAGCTGTGCCTCTTGCTGTGTGACCTTGGGGCCCTCCCTTAACCTCTCTGAGCCTCCATTTCCTTGGCAGAAAGAGGCAACTGATCTAATACCTATCTCATGGGTTCGTGCGGCAACGTAACATGCTTTGTAAATGCACTGGGGCCCCATGGAGACAGTCATCGTGACAGAGCACTTTGCCATCCTCATCTGCATTGCTCTGTCCAGCTCCGTGGCTGTGACGGATGCAAATTAAACTGAGAGACACAGTCCCGGGCAGGAGGAGATGGCGTGTCCTGTCTACTTTTTTCACTTCTATGTCGTTTGAAGGATTTGTTTGTTTGTTTGTTTGTTTGTTTGAGACGGAGTCTCACTCTGTCGCCCAGGCTGGAGTGCAATGGCACGATCTCAGGTCACTGCAACCTCCACCTCCCAGGTTCAAGCGATTCTCTTGTCTCAGCCTCCCAAGCAGCTGGGATTACAGGCATGCACCACCACGCCCGGCTAATTTTTTTGTATTTTCAGTAGAGACGGTGTTTCACTGTATTGGCCAGGCTGGTCTTGAACTCCTGACCTCAGTTGATGCACCCGCCTCGGCCTCCCAACATGCTGGGATTCCAGGCATGAGACACGGTGCCTGGCCCATATGAAGTTTCTCACAAGGATCATACTTGAAGCTGCGCCCAGTCAAGAGAGATTTATTTTAAGGCAAGTTCTGAAATCTGCAGTGCAGGCCAGCAGGCTGGGGACCCAGGGAAGAGTTGGTGCTGCAGCTGGAACACCTGGCAGAGTGCCTTCCTCCTGGGAGGACCCCAGGCTTTTTCTCAAGTCCTTCAACTGATTAGATGAGGCTCACCTGCATTACAGACAGTCACCTGCTGTGCTTGAAGTCTACAGATTTAAAGGTGAATCACATAAAAGAAAAACACCAGACTTTTGCATGCCAGGCTCAGTGGCTCACACCTGTAATCCCAGCACTTTGGGAGGCTGAGGCAGGAGGATCACTTGAGGTCAGGTGTTCAATCCCAGCCTGGGCAACAACATAGCAAGACCCCATCCCTACAAAATAAAAAACAGGCTGAGCGCAGTGGCTCAGTAATTCCAGCACTTTGAGAGGCTGAGGTGGGCAGATCACCTGAGGACAGGGGTTTGAGACCAGCCGGGCCAACATGGTGAAACCCCATCTCTACTAAAAATACAAAAAAAATTACCCAGGGGTGGTGGTGCATGCCTGTAACCCCAGCTATGTGGGAGGCTGAGGCAGGAGAATCACTTGGACATGGGACATTGCAGTGAGCCGAGATCATGCCATTGCACTCCAGCCTGGGCAATAGAGCAAGATGCAACATTCTATCAAAAAAAAAAAAAAAAGGAAAGAAAAAACAACCTTCACAGCAACATCTAGAAAAACATTTAATTGGCCGGGCATGGTGACTCACGCCTGTAATCCCAGCACTTTGGGAGGCTGAGGTGGGTAGATCACAAAGTCAGGGGTTCGAGACCAGCCTGGCCAATATGGTGAAACATAGTCTCTACTAAAATTGCAAAAAAGTTAACCAGGCGTGGTGGCAGACGCCTGTAGTCCCAGCCACTTGGGAGGCTGAGTCAGGAGAATAGCTTGAACCTGGGAGGCAGAGGTTGCAGTGAGCCAAGATTGTGCCATCGCACTCCAGCCTGGGCGACAGGGCGAGACTCTGTCTCAAAAATAAAATAAAATAAACGTTTAACCAAACCCTGGGGCACCATGGCCCGCCCTAGTACCCCCATAAAATCAGCCATCACCCCACGTATCCACTCAGAACTCAGTTCTCCAGTACCTGCCCCCAGCGCGTCATTACTGGCCATGGGAATTTATGAGGAAGGGGTGCCCGGCCCTTGCTTTGCTCCCAGTTGGGGACGGACAGACTCATCCCTGCTGGCCAGGTGGCGCAGGAGTCAGACACGGTTCTGATCGGCCAGTGAGCCTCCCTCCAGCGCAGCTCTGAGCCCCCACCAGACCCCATCACGCCACCACCGGCTGGGATCCAGCCAGGAGGGGAGGGGTCTGCCTCCCACGAGGTGTCTGAATGTTCCAGAAATCTGACTGCTGAGGACAGACCTGAGCATTCAAAGCATTCCTTCAGGCTGAAGAAAGAGAAAGCTCTGGTTGAAGTGGTTTTCCTTTTATGAGTCGGTGCCAGCCCCCAGCCCGGGCGGAGGGCGGTGACTCATCCTGCCCCGTTTGATGTTGAGGAGGGGCCCCCATGGCCCCTTTGAATGTCGGGCCTCAGGGGAGCCAGGATTTGACCCGTCCCCGCTCCCAGTCCCGCCTGAGGTTTTATATCCCCAGCTCCAACTCGGCGACCAGAACCACAGAGCCTCAACGGCAACGATCTTGGGGCTCTCCAGCCCAGCGCAGCGGGCATGGGGGGTGGTGCCAAGGGGCCGCGTGCTGGAGCCACAACGCCAGCTATTTTCAGGGTCTGGAGGCTATTTCTGTCGTCCAGGACAGCCGCTTCCCAAATAGAAGCCTAGAAAGCAGGCCAGGTCCGAGTCATCACAGGCCACGGCCAGTGGGCTCCCTCCGTGGGCATGTGTGTTCCCCGGCTGCCCAGCTGGGCCAGACCCCAAAGCTGTCCCACAGGCTCCTGGCCTTTTGAGGGGCCCAGGTCCCAGGTATCCTTGGGGCCCAAAGGAGGACGGAGGATCTGTGATGCAGAGGTACTGGCCAAGCAAGGTGGCTCATGCCTGTAACCCCAGTGCTTCCAGAGGCCTAGGCGGGAGGATCGCCTGAGCCCAGGAGTTTGAGACCAGCCTGGGCAACATGGTGAGACCCTCATCTGTACAAGAAAATTATTCTAAAAATTATGGCCAGGCCGGGCATGGTGGCTCATGCCTGTAATCCCAGCACTTTGGGTGGCCTAGGTGGGTGGGCCACCTGAGGTCAGGAGTTCGAGACCAGCCTGGCCAACATGGTGAAACCCCGTCTCTACTAAAAGTTCAAAAATTACTGTGGTGTGGTGGCGGGTACCTGTAGTCCCAGCTACTTGGGAGGCCGAGGTGGGAGAATTGCTTGGACCCAGGGGGCGGAGGTTGCAGTGAGTAGAGATCACGCCACCGCACTCCAGCCTGACTGACAGAGCGAGACTCTGTCTCATAAATAAATAAATAAATAAATAATAAAAATAAAAAATGATGGCCAGGTGTAGTGACTCACTCCTGTAGTCCCAGCTAGTCAGGTACTCCCAGCTGAGGCGGGAGAATCACTTGAGCCCAGGAGGTGGAGGCTGCAGTGAGCTAGGATAGCACCACTGCACTCCAGCCTGGGGGACAGAGCGAGACCCTGTCTCAAAAGCAGACAACAAAGGCACCTCCATGAATCGATGTTGTGATCCTTCTCGGATCATCCCCTCACCCCTGCCACATCGAATCCTCCCCCTGTGATCGCCCTCTCACCTTTCAGGGGAAAAAGAGAGGAGAGAAAGGTCGCTGAGTCCTACAGAGACACAGTTACCGGTTACAGGATGAGATCCAGGGCCAGACGGACATGTCCCTGTTTAGCCTGACCCAGGACACCCGACACCCCAGCCCCAGCCCTGCTGGGGTGAGCTAAGCGGGGAGTGGCAGTGGCACCCCCAAAGGCATGGCCAGGAGAGATGGGCGTGTGGCCTGGGGCAGGCTGGCGGCAGGGGGTCCCTCCTGTGACCAGAAGCATCAGCCCCTCTGGGGTTCGGAGTCATCAGGGGGTTCAGGCTGCACAAGAAAGATGGAGACAAGCTTATCTCATCCTCACCGGGCACAGCCACCTGGCTGGGTGTCACTGAAACCTCCCTCAAGCTCGTCAAATGTGCAGGCAGCATTTTCCTATCAGGACCTTCCTTCCTTGGGGTGAGAATGAGGTCTTGGACTCCGAAAGCAGGGTCCCTCTGTCCCTGACCCTTTGTGTTCTAAATCTGTCAACGCGTGCTGAAGGAAGTCCAGCCTTTTCTTTTAAAAAAAAAAAAAAATCCTTTTTTAGGCCAGTCGCTATGGCTCACACCTGTAATCCCAGCACTTTGGGAGGCTGAGGTGGGTGGATTGCGAGGTCAGGAGTTCGAGACCAGCCTGATCAACATGGTGAAACCCCGTCTCTACTAAAAATACAAAAATTAGCCAGGCGTGGTGGTGCGTGCCTATAATCCCAGCTACTTGGGAGGCTGAGGCAGGAGAATCACTTGAACCCGCAAGGTGGAGGTTGCAGTGAGCCAAGATTGCACCACTGCACTCCGGGCTGGATGACAGAGAGGGACTCCATCTCAAAAAAAAGAAAGAAAGAAAGAAAGAAATGGGATCACACACTGCGTGGCCTTCTGTGACTGGCATCTCTCACTGAGCGTGAAGTCCTTAAGATGCGTCCACGGCCAGTCGCGGTGGCTCACGCCTGTAATCCCAGCACTTTGGGAGGCCACAAGGTCAGGAGATCGAGACCATCCTAGCTAACATAGTGAAACCCTGTCTCTACTAAAAATACAAAAAAAAATTAGCTGGGTGTGGTGGCGAGCACCTGTAGTCCCAGCTACTCGGATGGCTGAGGCAGGAGAATGGCCTGAACCCAGGAGGCAGAGCTTGCAGTGAGCTGAGATCACGCCACTGCACTCCAGCCTGGGCGACAGAGCGAGATTCTGTCTCAAAAAAAAAAAAAAAAAGAAAAGAAAAAATAGATGCATCCACATTGTGGCCTATGTCAGAGCCACGCTCCTTTTCATGGCTGAGTAATATTCCAGTGTGTGGACGGGCCACACTGTTTGCCCACGCCCCCGTCAATGGGCTCCTGGGCGGTTTCCGCCTGTGGCTATTGGGAATGGCGCTGCTGTGAACCTGGGTGTGCCAGCCTCTTCTTATATCTCCCCTCTCTCCTCCTTGTGCCCAAACACAGGTCTCCAAAGCGGCGTCTGACCTCATGAGCTACTGTGAACAACACGCCCGAAACGACCCCCTGCTGGTCGGCGTCCCTGCCTCCGAGAACCCCTTTAAGGACAAGAAACCTTGTATTATTTTATAACTGTGTTCTCGTATGTGCGCTCTCTCTCTCTCGCTCTCGCGCTCTCTCTCTGTGTCTCAGGCAGGGCATCATTCAGTAATTAGCTCAAACAAAACATCTCAAGTCCCCAAAACGTTTAATTCCCAAAGAAATCCACCCTTCCCCCCAAAAAAGACGTTCCCACTGCCTGGATGGGGTAGAATGTACCTTGTAGGTGTAGATGGGGTTTCGAGTCCGACCCCATGGCCCTCTCAGTTTGGGCAAAGCTGGGATGGAGGCTTTACGGCCACTTCCCGTTCGGTGTAACTGAAATCCCCCAGTGATGTGGGAACCATTTGTAAAAATCTCCATTGCCGTTTCGATTGTGGACGCGGCACCGAGGGCGAAGGGAGGTGACTTCACCCGGTGGCAGCAGTTACGGGAGAACTGGCCATTTGTAAAAAGACTTCACGGGGTCACTGAGATGCTTTGTGTTGTTTTTAAGTAGAGGTAAAATTGAGGTGGGGGGGAGGTGACATCGTGAACCTTTTTTGGAAATATCTCTCCATTTAAAAAGTTGTTATTCCGTACGGCTAAACTCGGACTGTGGTGGTCGAACCCGTCGCTAAACTGTACCATCAAGCAATGAATGCACGATGGACCGTGGGGGCTGGGAGGGGACTTCGCCTATGAAAAGTTGACAAGTGTGACTCCCCTGCATGATTTTTGCCATGGATCCTTTCTTCAGGGTCCCCTCTGTGCCAGAAACGGGTTTTCGGGACTTGCCCAAGGGGAGCGGTCACCGGCCCGGCCCATCCTGTTTTTGGATTTTTTTTTTTTTTGAGATAGAATTTCGCTCTCGTTACCCGGGCTGGAGTGCAGTGGCACGATCTCGGCTCCCTGCAACCTCCGCCTCCCCAGTTCAAGCGATTCTCCTGCCTCAGCCTCCTGAGTAGCTGAGACTACAGGCACGCGCCACCACGCCCGGCTAATTTTTGTATTTTTAGTAGAGATGGGGTTTCACCATGTTGGCCAGGCTGGTCTCAAACTCCTGACCTCGTGATTCCCCCGCCTCGGCCTCCCAAAGTGCTGGGATTACAGGCATGAGCCACCCCGCCCGGCGTGTTTTCAGCTCGAGGCATCTGTGTGGCCGGGAGAGGCTTTGACCATCCTTGGTTCTTCCGGCTTGTTCTACCCTCTGACATCCACCACAGACATTTCTCAAACAGAAATGCAGGCTGGGGAGCCGCGGCTGGGCGGCTGGGGCTCCCCTGTGCTGCCCTGTATACAAAGCTGTTCCATGATCTTGAAGTGACTTTGAAGGACGCCGGGAGGTGAGACGTTGTCCCGGAGATCGAAACGTCCGCTCAAAACGTTGCCCTGTCGCTCGAACCCAATCTTTTCGCTTTTCCACCCTGTGCAACCCGGGACGGCTGCCTGAGGCCGGGAGATGCGTTAGGCGCAGAACGGGTCACTCCTCCCAGCGGCAAGTGGAAATCGAAGATGCCATGGGGTCAGGGGGAGGCTTCTGAAAGACGACTGTGTCCTCCTCTGCGGCACAGACGGGAGCAGGTGCAGCCACATCCTCCCGGGCCTGCTGGCGTCACCTGGGGCCACGCCTGAGCTGGACCCTGAGCTGGACCCTGAGCCGCCGGGACCCCACACAGCCCTGATTGCAGGAGGCCTGGCCGCCCCGGCCCCCCTCCACGGGGCTGGCCCAGAAGCAAGTAGTAGAAAAAAAAAAAAAAACTAGCCTAGCCCTATCCCTCCAGTCCCAGTGGAAATGGGCGTCTAAGGACCCGTGCCAAGAGGGCTCCTGGACGGCTGCCCAGGTCCTCTGTGCAGGCCCATGGGGCGGGGATCCCTGCTCAGCTCCCTTCCTGGGGCGACTGCCGGGGTTCCCACCTCACAAGGCTAGAGGGTTCTGTGTGTTGCCGGTGCAGGGAGAGTGACCTTCACTCCTCAACCTCGGGCGGCTCCCACAGACAACAGCTGGACTCCCCACCCCCGGCACCCAGCTCTCTACGGCCGGTCCGGGAGGGCTGGGGCTTTGGGGAGCCCTCCCCACCAAACCTGCTGTTGGCCCAGGAGAGCCCCAGGGGCTCCCCACAGACTGCAGCCTCCTGTGGTTGGGCTGGGAGCTGGCGGGGCTTGGGGTGTGGGCATCCCCACCACCCATAGCAGGAATGGCAGGAAGAGACAAAAGTCTGTTCCAGAAACCCCGGGAGGACCCCAGGCAGGGAGACCCTGCCTGCCCCCACCCTTCCCAACAAGCCATCTTGGTAACTGGGAACAAACGCACCGCAGCCCGTTTTTCCTTAAAAGAGGCCTTAATCCCTGAGCCCCCGCTGCCAGGGCAGAGGGAGGAGGGGGCACAGCTGTGCCAAGCCTGGCCCCACTGGTGTGTCCTAACGATGTGACCCCAGAAATGCCAGCGGGGAACGGAGGCCGCTGCAGAGACACAGCCCAGGCAGCCGGGCCTCCTAGGCTGGTGGAGATGGTGGGGTTAAATCCCGGCTTCCAGGGACTCTTAGCTCCAAAGGCCCCTAGAGTCACGTCCTCCCGCCCCACAGACGGGACCCTGCACAGAAGTCAGAGGGCCTGGGGTCCAAGCGTTCTAGGTAAACTGAGGCTCAGGGAGGGGAAGGACAGGCTGGCCTCTCCTTCACTGTCCATAGGGCCTTGGGTTCCCTGAGCTATCCAGACCCCACCATCTCCCGGACCCCAGGGAGGTGGCCATTGCCAGAAGCCTGTGGATTTTCTAGCTTGGGGGATTAAAAAAAAAAATTCTCCCCTTTTTTTTCTTGTAGAGTAAACCTCAGTGACCACAGTGTGGAAAATACTTTTGCAGACGAGCCCACACACCCACCGCCGCACGTGCTTTTCTGCCGGGAATCCCTGGGGTGAACGCGTGTTTTATGGGCATTTCCAGGAGCGTGCGTGCACCTCCAGATGAGGGGCTGGCGGGCGGGGGTGGCAGCAGCAGCTCTAGCCTTGGGGACACCAGCGTCTCTCAGCCACACCAGGGGAAAAAGAGAGTTAAGGACACTCACCCCCATCCACGCACACACACACACAAGGCAGCGTCGGGTGGGAGCAAGAAGGCCGTTTCTCCTTCTGCTGCCTGGGTCTCTGACGGGCCTTCCCCGGTCCTGAGCGAGAAACCAGTTGCCAGGTGAAGGGCCACGGCGGGCCAGGCCCCGACCCTGTCGTGACCCACCTGGGCACCTTCCCGGACCAGCTCCGCCTACCCTGCCCTCCTCTCTCCAGGAAGGAGCCAGAACACGCACCCTTCTCCCACCCTCCCCAGGGGTAACCCCAGGCCAAGCACAGACAGCTCAGCTATGACCTCTGGCCTCTGGGGACATAAACAGGGCGGCTGGGCCGGGGTGGCAGGTGCTCCACTTTCCCTCTCTCTGCGTGGTCCCTTTGACGGCCGGCCACCGTGTCCGGGGTGCAACGCTAGGCCTCCAGGCCACGCATCCATCTCCAAGTTAACAGGCCCTTATCCTGCCCAAGCTCTGGGGCAGGTAGGAGGGGCCATCACACACCTGCCCATGTGTGAGTGACCCAGGAGGGGGCTTCTGGGTGGAGGTGGAGCCACCACGCCCTTCCTCAAGGGATCACTTATTAAATGTCCTCGGGCCCTCTGCACAGAAGCCATACGCCGGCCAACCGCGCCTCCTTCTCTGTCCACGGAACCGTTGCCGATCTAATCTTTGTAAAGACCTGTCTCCTGTTTCCAGCCACCACCTGTGGTTCTAGCAGGTTCTATGCCATCTGCATTGGGATGTCTGGTTGTTTTTATTTCTGACTTTTTTAAAATTCCAGGTGTGCCGCACCCACTTTCTCGCAGTGTTTTAATATTACGTGGAGTTGTTGATACAATGTGAATTCATACACAATAAACAGCCTCACTCTCCCTTTTCTCCTGGCTCTAGGCTGTTCCTTCTCTCCCTGGCCCAGGGCTTGCTGAGGGGGAGCTCTTAGCATGCAAGCAAATGCCCCGGGCTTGGCTCCAGGCATGGGGACCCACGGCCCCACACCATCCCGTCCACCTTCCCTTCACTGGCCCAGGGAAGAGGTAACAGGAGGGGGACCCCTGGGGGCTGCACCACAAACCAGGAACGCTCAGGCCTCACGGGCTTTAGGATTTATTTTTTTATTTTTTATTTTTTTTTTTGAGGCGGAGTGTAGCTCTGTCGCCCAGGCTGGAGTGCAGTGGCCGGATCTCAGCTCACTGCAAGCTCCGCCTCCCGGGTTCACGCCATTCTCCGGCCTCAGCCTCCCGAGTAGCTGGGACTACAGGCGCCCGCCACCTCACCCGGCTGGTTTTTTGTATTTTTTAGTAGAGACGGGGTTTCACCGTGTGAACCAGGATGGTCTCGATCTCCTGACCTCGTGATCCGCCCGTCTCGGCCTCCCAAAGTGCTGGGATTACAGGCTTGAGCCACCGCGCCCGGCCCTAGGATTTATACTTAGAAAATCTAGAAGGGGCTGGGTGTGGTGGCTTAGGCCTGGAATCCCAGCACTTTGGGAGCCCGAGGCGGGCGGATCACATGAGGTCAGAAGTTCGAGACCAGCCTGGCCAACACAGTGAAACCATGTCTCTACTAAAACTACAAAAATTAGCCGGGCGTGATGGCGCGTGATTATAATCCCAGCTACTCAAGAAGATGAGGCAGGAGAACTGCTTGAACCCAAGAGGCAAAGGCTGCAATGAACCAAGATCATGCCACTGCACTCCAGCCTGGGCAACAGATTAAGAGTCCATCTCAAAAAAAAAAAAAAAAAAAAAAAAAAGCCAGACACAGTGGTTCACACCTGTAATCCCAGCACTTTAGAAGGCCAAGGAGGGCATATCATGAGGTCAGGTGTTCGAGACCAGCCTGGTCAACATGGCGAAATCCTGTCTCTACTAAAAATGCAAAAAAAAAATTAGCTAGGCATGGTGGTGGGCGCCTGTAGTCCCAGCTACTCGGGAGGTTGAGGCAGGATAATTGCTTGAACTTGGGAGGCAGAGGTTGCAGTGAGCCAAGATTATGCCACTGCACTCCAGCCTGGGAAACAGAGTGAGACTCCATCTCAAAAAAAAAAAAAAAAAAAAAAAAGAAAAGAAAATCTAAGAGACGGGCTCAATAGCTCCACACCTGTAATCCCAGCACTTTGGGAGTAGGAGTGGACAGATCACCTGAGGTCAGGAGTTCGGATCAACCTAGGCAATACAGTGAAACCCTGTCTCTACTAAAAAATGAAATTAGCTGAGCGTGGTGGCAGTGCCTATAATCCCAGCTGCTTGGGAGGCCTGAGGCAGGAGAGTTGCTTGGAAGCCAGGCCGAGGTTGCAGTGAGCCGAGGTTGCACCAGCCTGGGAAACAAGAGCGAGACTCCATCTCAAAAAAAAAAAAAAGATTAAGAAAAGCTTTGGGCTCTCGCTGGCAGGGAACACGGGAGGATACAAGCTGTCACATGCCGCCAAAGGACCTCTAGCGGGTACAGCCTTCCTAGAAAGTGCTCTGATGGGCCGAGGCACGTGGCTCACACCTGTAATCCCAACACTTTGCAGGAGGCCAGGAAGTGTATCACCTGAGGTTAGGAGTTCGAGATAGCCTCAGCTTAAGGAGAAACCCCGTCTCTACTAAAAATACAAAAAATTAGTCAGGCTTGGTGGTACATACCTGTAATCCCAGCTACTCGGGAGGCTGAGAATTGCTTGAACCCGGGAGGCGGAGGTTGCAGTGAGCCAAGATCGCGCCACTGCCCTCCAGCCTGGGCACAAAGTGAAACTCCGTCTCCAAAAAAGAAAAGAAAGTGGCGGCTGTGCGCGGTGGCTCATGCCAGCCATCCCACTTTGGGAGGCAAGGCAGGCGGATCACCTGATGTCAGGAGTTGAGACCAGCTGCAGCCAACATAGTGAAACCACTGTCTCACTAAAAATGCCAAAATTAGCTGGGAGTAAAAGTGGGCCTGTAATCCCAGCTACTCAGGAGGCTGAGGAACAGAATCGCTTGAACCTGGGAGGCCCGGAGGTTGCAGTGAGCCGAGATCGCACCACTGCACTCCAGCCTGGAGCCACAGGAGCGAGACTCCATCTCAGAAATAAATAAATGAATAAATAAAACAAAATGTAAAATGTAGGGTTGTAAATCAGCTCTATGCAGTTCCAGACACTGTCATCACCCCAAAGATGCCCCATCGCATCAGCAGTCTCTGCCCTCTGATCTTGAGCCACCTCGAATCCTTTCCCGTCTCTGTCGTTAGCCTGTCCTTTGCATTTTCACATACATGGGATCATGCTGTTGTGGCCTTTTTATATCTGGCACCTCCTGGCTGCCGTCCTCCAGGAGTTCATCCAGGTGCTGGCCTGTGCTCCAGGCTTAGATTCCTTTTCATGGCTGAGCAATATTCCTTTCTGGACAGACCACCTTGTATGTATCCATTAGCAGTTGGTATTTAAGGACATGGAAGATGCTTCAAATATTAGGTTGGTGCAAAGTAATTGCGGTTTTCACCTTTTAATGCTTCATTCACAAGTGCTTTTTCCAACCCTAATATAGTCACTGAAAAACTTACATGCAAAATCGTACATTACTAGCTGAACAGTTTATTTTGTTTTAATGCTGAAAAAAAGACATAGGAAATAAGCCAAGAAGGGTTTCACTTCTTTTCCTGGTTCCCAAAACAAAATATAATCATTATAGAAGTTATATAAAATAATACAGTATTTAAAAGTCATCTTTGGGCCGGGGCACGGTGGCTCACGCCTGTAATCCCAGCACTTTGGGAGGCCGAGACGGGTGGATCACCTGAGGTCAGAGTTCGAGACCACCTTGGCCAGCATGGAAAACCCCGTCTCTACTAAAAATACAAAAATTAGCCAGGCGTGGTGGCCCATGCCTGTAATCCCAGCTACTTGGGAGGCTGAGGCAGGAGAATCACTTGAACCAGGAAGCCAGAGGAGTTGCCGGTGAGCCAAGATCGTGCCATTTGCACTCCAGCCTGGGCAACAAGGAGTGAATCTCAACTAAAAAAAAAAATTTTTTTAAAGTCATCCTTAATTTACCTTTTTTTGCTTGCAAGTTAAAAAAAAAATATATCAGCCTTGCGTGGTAGCTCCATGCCTATAATCCCAGCCGTTGGAAGGCCAAGGCAAATCAGATCACTTGAGGTCAGGAGTTCAAGAGCAGCCTGGCCAACACAGAGAAACCTTGTCTCTATTAAAAAAAAAAAAAAAAAAAAAAATTAGCTGGGTGTGGTGGGTACATGCCTGTAATCCTAGCTAGTCGGGAGGCTAAGGCAGGAGAATCGCTTGAACCCAGGAGATGGAGGTTGCAGTGAGCTGAGATAACACCACTGCACTCCAGCCTAGGCAACAGAGCAATACTCCATCTCAAAAAAAAAAAAAAAAAGAGGCCGGGCGCGGTGGTGGCTCGGCCTGTAATCCCAGCACTTTGGGAGGCCAAGGCGGGCAGATCAGGAGGTCAGGAGATGGAGACCATCCTGGCTAACATGGTGAAACCTGTCTCTGCAAATACAAAAATTAGCCGGGCGTGTACCGCGTGTGCCTGTAATCCCAGCTACTCAGAGGCTGAGGCAGCAGAATCGCTTAGTCCCAGGAAGGCGGAGGTTGCAGTAGGCTGAGATCCCGCCACTGCATTCAGCCTAGGAGACAGGCGAGACTCTGTCTCAAGAAAAAAGAAAAGAAAAAAAAGAGAAAAGAAAAAAAAGAAAGAAAGAAAGAAAGAAAAGAAAGAAGAAAGAAGAGGCCAGGCGCATTGGCTCAAGCCTGTAATCCCAGCACTTTGGGAGGCCGAGACAGGCGGATCACTAGGCCCAGGAGATTGAGGCCATCACCAGCTGTAGGTGAAACCCACGTCTCTGCCACTAAAAATACAAAAACTAGCAGGAGCAGGAGTGGCGGGGCGCCTGTGATCCCAGCTACTCTGGAGGCTGAGGCAGGAGAATGGCGTAAACCGGCAGGCGGAGCTTGCAGTGAGCTGAGATCCAGCCACTGCACCCCAGCCTGGGCGACAGAGCCAGACTCCGTCTCAAAAAAAAAAAAAAAGAAGAAAGAAGAAAGAAGGAAGAAAGAAGAAAGAAAGAAAAGAAGAAAGAAAGAGAAAAGAAGAAAAGAGAAGAAAGAAAGAGAGAAAAGAAAAGAAAAAAAGAAAGAAAAGAAAGAAGAAAACAAAGAAGAAAGAATGGCCGGGCGCGTGGCTCAAGCCTGTAATCCCAGCACTTTGGGAGGCCGAGACAGGGCGGATCACGAGGTCAGGAGATCGAGACCATCCTGGCTAACATGGTGAAGCTCCGTCTCTACTAAAAATACAAAACTAGCGGCGAGATGGCAGGCGCCTGTAGTCCCAGCTACTCGGGAGAGCTGAGGCAGAGAGAATGGCGTGAACCTGGGAGGCAGAGCTTGCAGTGAGCTGAGATCCGGCCACTGCACTCCAGCCTGGGCGGCAGAGCGAGACTCCGTCTCAAAAAAAAAAAAAAAAAAAAAAAAAAAAACTGGACTCCTCAACACAGACTGCTCTGATACTAGCATAAAAAAAAAAAAAAAAAAAAAAAAAGAAAAGAAAAGAAAAAGAAAATCTAAGAGGAAGGCCGGGCTCAATGGCTCACACCTGTAATCCCAGCACTTTGGGAGGCCAAGGTGGACAGATCACCTGAGGTCAGGAGTTCGAGACCAACCTGGGCAATACAGTGAAACCCTGTCTCTACTAAAAATACAAAAATTAGCTGAGCGTGGTGGCAGGTGCCTATAATCCCAGCTGCTTGGGAGGCTGAGGCAGGAGAGTTGCTTGAAGCCAGGAGGCCGAGGTTGCAGTGAGCCGAGGTTGCACCACTGCACTCCAGCCTGGGAAACAAGAGCGAGACTCCATCTCAAAAAAAAAAAAGATTAAGAAAAGCTTTTGGGCTCTACGCT